TAACTAACCTAATTAGTACAATTGCCCTCTACCTTATTCTACTTAAAAACTTAAGCCTACTACAACCTCTCTTGCTTCCTAAATCTAACGTAAAGTAAACCTAATAACCTTAAAACTTAAAAATCCTAAACTTAAAAGTCTAAAACCTAAAAGTCTAACATTCTACAATGCTAATTAACTAACCTAATTAGTACAGTTGCCCTCTATCTTATTCTACTTAAAAACTTAAGCCTAATACAACCTCGCTTGCTTCCTAAATCTAACGTAAAGTAAACCTAAAAATTAGCCCATGGTCCTCGATGTGGTGCTGGAACTGGTCATCGCATGTGGTCCACGTTTTCTTCTTAGACAGTGTCCGCAGGGAGAGGCCTGCGGTCACTGTGAAATTTGTTGGTGCAAGAAGCCCGGACAGTGGGATTCTTGCTTTGCCGGGCATTATCCAGAAACTTTGTTGTTAAGTTCCGGAAATGCTCGAGCAGGTCTTCTGTGTTCAGGTCTCTTTGCAGGGTGGTATTTCTGACAAAGTACGGGGCCTTGGCTGCTATCCTCAAGATCTTGTTCTGAATTGCCGCCACCTTCTTCTTTTGCGTGATGCAGGCCGTGGACCATGCAGTTGATCCATAGGTCAGCACCGGACGGATTAGCTGTTTGTAAGCTCTAACCTTTGTTCTCAGGTAGAGCTTGCCTTTCAGCAGAGGATAGTAGGCCTGGAGCAGGTATCTTGCCTTCGCTTTCTCCCTATCTGAATCTCGTCGTCGCTGATATAGTTTCCTCCAGGTAACCCAGACGGTTCTCGAAATTTCCAGCCCAGGTGCAAAATTTCCCGCTTGTCAGTGTCATATTTGACGCAAATGGGGTTTCCATTTACTGAAATACCATCAATTTCGATCCCCCCATTCCAAACGTGAGTACCCCAGGCCATTTCCGTTACAATATTTTTAAAAGACTTTAATATAAATGATAAAATTTCAACAGAAGATTGATATTTTATTTTTTAACATTTTCTATTATTTGGAAAGCATTCGATTCAATATCATTAATCAAAATCGACTCATCCATTGGAATGGTTTTACTTGTTGTTAAGCTAAATTCACTTTTATTGTCATTATTTGTATATTTCTGATAAAAAGGCAATCAGTCTACCAGAACTAAAATACGCCGTGCAGTTAAACAGCTGGTAGGATTTGATTTGATGACAGGGCTGCGAGGATGGTGCATGCGTAGTTCATGGAATGGTGTCAAGTGTCCGCTGAATTATGAGAACTAGGGATGATACAAAAAAGTATTTTTCAGTCACAGGTTCCATGTGTGACGGTTCCAAGCTCGTACCTGTTCCAAGTATCTGTCATTTTTTGTCACCTGTTATTTTGGCCCACGATCAATATTCTTATTTATTAGATTATTATTAGACTTTAAAGACGGATTAGACTTTAAAAGGCTTTTTTGGGCACTGAAAATATGATGGTAAAAGATTATTGGAAGTTGTTCGGGAGGTTGTCAGAATATTGAGACAATAGTTTGTGCTCGATTTCCGGCTGTGGAACATTGCTTATAAACAATTATTTATAAATAATTAAAGAAAGTGCGAAAGCTCGTTTTTTGTGCATAATTGTTAAACCGTTGATGCTATTGAAAAATGGTTTTATGCTTTTTTTCAAGTATTAAAAATACCTATGATATCAGATAAACTATATTAAAATCCGTTCATTAGTTTACTCAAAAATAAAAAAAATAAAAAATAAAAAAAAAACCGATTTCAGCCGTCGATTTCAGCGTTTTGTTAATTTTTGTTTAAAGAAGATATATGAAAATACCATATCTTTTTATAATCACTCAGTCACTAACGAAATTTTCATTTACTGTACGTTGTAGTATAACTCTTTACGAGTAAAATACAGCCTCAGAGAAGTCTCTCCGACGTCTCATGAGAAATGTATCTGAATCTGGTAAGAGCCCTTTTAACACAACAAATAGGAATGCACAAAAAGTTATAAATATTTGGAACTAAAATTTATACCACTTATAAAGATACAAACACCTTCAAAAAAAGTTATAGTGAGATTTTTTGAAGCAAAACCAAATTCACTACAGGGTGATTCAAAATTGGCGTCATTTCTCTGACGGTGTTGTCTGGCGCTGTTATAGAAGTACAGAAAAAATAGTACAAGAAATTAATTGTTATTAAAAACTGAGAAATTTGTAAAAAACTATATTAGAAATACGGCAGCAATGTTTTTCAAGGTAATCTGCCTAATTAACATTGCGCAAATACCTGTTGCTTCGTAATCATTTAAAACTCCGGTAACCATGGAATTATACAGAGTGACAATTAGATAGACAAGGATAAACGGTAAATTCAACAAGATTTGTTGACTGCGGAACGTACTTTCGAAATGTCAACCTGTTCTCAGAACCTCAAACACCAAACATTTGAATGGTTAACTCCAAGCAAGCTAGTGCCTGTGTAATCTCCTTATTATCCACTCTTATCAAACAGCTTCTTGTATTCAGGTAATTAACTCCTGCTCCATTTGTATCTCCTTGTGCTGTGTGTATCGTAGAAACGTGGTAGGAATGTAGCCCTTCTTCGGTATTTATTTGGTGTTTGAGAAAGTGTCAGTTATTGTGCTCTGAGTGCCCCTGGAGGGCCCTGATTTGGTTATGTCCAATACTTTTTCCTCTGTGCCTAGAATCCGAACATCTATCGTCCACTATCTTCCTGAAACCACTCTCCTCGCCCTTTGTTGGCGTGAGTTCTTTCAGCTTCCGCTATGTTGCTGTAGGATTTCCCCTGAACTAATCGCATATCCGCAAATTGGTGAAAGAAAATTCAAAGTAAGTCACAGTTTGACAAATTATTGTTATGATTGACAAGGGCTATCCACCTGTAACTACCAGTTAATGGCAAAAAACATCATTGCCGCTGTGCCTTTTCGTCAAAAAATTGTTGAAGAGAACTTTTTTGATATCAAAAATTTTCGTAATTTGAAGCAAAGATCGTAATTTTTCTGTTTAAATGGTTAAGTATTCCAATATGCTACCAATTAAACATGGAACAATT